CTCTGGGGGAGTGGGAATGGGAATTAGGGATTTTTTTGGTATTTTGGGGGATTTTTTAGGGAATGAGATTTTTTTTTGGGATTTTTTTTGGGATTTTTTGGGGGATTTTGGGATTTTTTTGGGGGGGGGATTTTGGGATTTTTTTGAGGGGGAATTTTTGGGAATTTTTTGAGGGGATTTTTTTTGGGTATTTTTTGGGTATTTTTTTGGGAATTTTGGGAATTTTTTTTTAATTTTTTTGGGATTTTTTGGGATTATTTGGGAATTTTGGGATTTTTTTGGGGAATTTTGGGAATTTGAGAATTTTGGGAATGGGAATTAGGATAATGATAATAAATGATAATAAATAATGATAATAGATGATAATAAATGATAATAATGATGACAATAATGAGGCCTGGGATGCCCGCGAAGCCCTGAGGGCCGGGCGGGCCTCTGGGGGAGTGGGAATGGGAATTAGGGATTTTTTTGGGAATTAGTTTTTTTGGGATTTTTTTGGGAATGAGATTTTTTTTTGGGGATTTTTTGAGGGGATTTTTTGGGGAATTTTGGGATTTTTTTAGGGGGGATTTTTGGGATTTTTTTTTTTGGGGGGGGGATTTTTTTTAGGGATTTTTTGGTATTTTTGGGGAATTTTGGGATTTTTTTTGGAAATTTTGGGAATTTTGGGATTTTTTTGGAAATTTTGGGAATTTTGGGATTTTTTTGGGATTTTTGGGGGATTATTTGGGAATTTTGGGATTTTTTTTGGAAATTTTGGGAATTTGAGAATTTTGGGAATGGGAATTAGGATAATCATAATAAATGATAATAAATAATGATGATAATAGATGATAATAAATAATGATAATAGATGATAATAAAGGATAATAATGATGACAATAATGAGGCCTGGGATGCCCGCGAAGCCCTGAGGGCCGGGCGGGCCTCTGGGGGAGTGGGAATGGGAGTTAGGGATTTTTTTGGGAATGAGATTTTTTGGGGGGATTTTTTCAGGGGGGGGGGATTTTTGGGATTTTTTTGAGGGGGAATTTTTGGGGAATTTTGGGATTTTTTGTGAATTTGTGAATTTTTTTGTGGGGATTTTTTTTTAGGGGGGGGGGATTTTTGGGATTTTTTTTTTTGGGGGGGGGGAATTTGGGATTTTTTGGGAATTTTGTGAATTTTTGGGGATTTTTTGGAGAAATTTTGGGATTGGGAATTAGGATAATGATAATAAATGATAATAAATGATGATGATAATTGATAATAAATGATGATGATGATAAATGATAGTAAATTATGATAATAAATGATAATAAATGATAATAATGATGATAATAATGATAATGATAATGATAATAGATTATAATAAATGATAATAAGTGATGATAATAATTGATAATAATGATGATAATAATAATAATAACAATACTCATTATGATGATGATACTACTAATAGAATATATTTAATATCTAAATGTTTCTATATTTAATATTCAGTAATAATAATATTTAAGTTTTTAACATTCATAATAATGAAATTTAATATATATTCATCTATTTATTAGGTAATGTTAAATTTTTTGATTTGTTAATGATGATATTGAATTTTATATTTAATTTCTAATATTTGAGATTCAATATTTAATGTTTAATAATAATAATAATAATAATAGAACATATATAATATCTAAATATTTCTATATATGTGAATACATGTATGACTATATATATATATATATATATATATATATATATATATATATATATATATATATATATATATGTATATATATATATATATATATATATATATATATATATATATATATATAGTATATTTATCTCTCTCTCTCTCTCTCTCTCTCTCTCTCTCTCTCTCTCTCTTCTCTCTCTCCTCTCTCTCTCTCTCTTCTCTCTCTCTCTCTCTCCCTCCCTACATCTTCCCTTCCATCCACCCTCTCTCTCCACCTCTCCACCTCTCTCCACTTCTCTTTCTCCCACCATCCTTCCACCCTCTTTCTCTCTCTCTCTCTCTCTCCCTCCTTCCATCCACCCACCTATCTCCACCCTCTCTCTCTCTCCACCCTTTCTCTTTCCACGTCTTTCCACCTCTCACTCTCTCCCTCCACTCTCTCTCCATCTACCCACCTCTCCCTCTCTCTCTCTCTCTCTCTCCCTCCCTTTCTCTCTCTCTCTCTCTCTCTCTCTCTCTCCCTCTCCCTCTCTCTCCCTCTCCTCCTCTCTCTCTCTCTCTCTCTCTCCCTCTCTCTCTCTCCCCTCTCTCTCTCCCTCCCTCCTTCCATCCAACCTCCCTCCCCTTCCCTCTCTCCCTCTCTCCCCCCTTCTCTCTCCCTCTCTTTTTCTCTCTCTCTCTCTCTCCCTCTCTCTCTCCCCCCTCTCTCTCTCCCTCCCTCCTTCCATCCAACCTCTCCCCCCTTCTCTCTCTCTCTCCCCTCTCTCTCTCTCTCTCTCTCTCCCTCTCTCCCTCTCTCTCTCTCTCTCTCTCTCTCTCCCTCTCTCTCTCTCTCTCTCTCTCCCTCTCTCCCTCTCTCTCTCTCTCTCTCTCTCTCTCCCTCTCTCTCTCTCTCTCTCTCTCTCTCTCCACCCACCTATAAATAGTCGAATCCGACGGATCGTATATGCCAGGAAGACCAATGTCGCCAACCAGACCAGGACGACCGTCTAAGCCTGGTTGTCCTCCGTCTCCCTGGGGGGTGGGGGGGGTGGGGGGAAGGGGAATTAGAAGAGAAAATGAATAAAGAGGGGGCATAAGGATAGATGTAGAGATAATGATAATGATAATGATAATGATAATGATAATAATGATAGTAATAATAGTAATGATAATGATAATAATAATGATAATGATAATGATGATAATAATAATAATAATGATAATTTGGGAGTGGAGAAGAGAAAATGAACAAATAGGGGGAATAATGATAGATAATAATGATGATGATAACAATTAAGATAATAACGATGATGACAATAATAATGACCATAATAATAATGATGACACTAATAACGATAATAATGATAATAATGACAATAATAATGATAATAATGATAATAATAACGATAAAAACGATAATAATAAGGACAATAATGACAATAACAATGACAATAATAACAATAATAACGATAATAATGATGATGATGATAATAAAGATGATGACAATGATAACAAATAACAATAACAATGACAATAATAATGATAATGACAACAATAATAACAATAATAACGATAACAATGATAATAATGACAATAATAATGACAATAATAACGATAATGATGATAATGAAAATAATAACAATAATAATAATAATAATAATGATGATGATAATGAAAATAATGATAACAATAATAATAATAATAATAATAATAATGATGATGATGATAATAATAATAGTAATAATAATAATATTAATAATGATGACACTAACGACACTAATAACGATTATAATGACAACAATAATGACACTAATAACGATAATAATGACAACAATAATGACACTAATAACGATAATAATGACAACAATAATGACACTAATAACGATAATAATGACAACAATAATGACACTAATAACGATAATAATGACAACAATAATGACACTAATAACGATAATAATAACAATAATAATGACAATAATAACGATAATGATGATAATGAAAATAATAATAACAATAATAATAATGATAATGATGATAATGAAAATAATAATAACAATAATAACAATAATAATAATGATGATAATGAAAATAATGATAACAATAATAATAATAATGATAATAATAATAATAATAATGATAATAACGACACTAATAACGATAATAATGATAATGAAAATAATAATAATACTAATAATAATGATGACACTAACGACACTAACAACGAGACCAACCGCCCGTGTCCCTTACCCTGTCTCCTTTCCGTCCGGGGAAACCAGCCATGCCAGGGGCGCCCTTAAACCCCTTTGCTCCTAAGGGACCGACCTGCCCTGGCCGCCCTGTCTTGCCCTTCTGCCCGTCGCTTCCACGTTGTCCCTTAAACCCCTTTTCCCCTAAAGTACCCGCATACCCGACGGTTCCAGGAGCGCCGGGTAAGCCTGGGTTCCCTAAGAAGCCTGGCGTCCCTGAGGGACCGTAGGGCGATTTGATCACTTGCTGGACCCTGTGGGAGAAATTAATTTAATAATTTAGTAATTAATTATGATATTAATGATGATAATTTAATGATAATTAATAATTGATAATTGATAATTAATACTTGATAATTAATAAATAATAATAATTAAAAATTAATGATAATATTTAATAATTAATAATAATAATAATTAATTAATTAATAATTAATTAATAATAATTTAATAATTAATTGATAATATTTTAATAATTAATTAATATTAGGCTACTTAGGTTGGATCACCTGCTGGCGCCTGTGAGAGTAATTAATGATTTAATAATTAATTATAATATTAATAATAATAATTTAATAATAATAATAAATAATAATAATAAATGATAAATAATAATTAATTAATCACAATATTTAATAATTAATTAATAATTATTAATAATAATTTAATAATTAATTAATAATAATTTAATAATTAATTGATAATATTTTAATAATTAATTAATATTAGGCTACTTAGGTTGGATCACCTGCTGGCGCCTGTGAGAGTAATTAATGATTTAATAATTAATTATAATATTAATAATAATAATTTAATAATAATAATAATTAATAATTAATAATAATAAATGATAGATAATAATTAATTAATCACAATATTTAATAATTAATAAATAATTATTAATAATAATTTAATAATTAATTGATAATAATTTAATAATTAATTGATAATAATTTAATAATTAATAATTAATATTAGGCTACTTAGGTGGCGCCTGTGAGAGTAATTAATGATTTAATTAATAATTCATTAATTATCAATTAATTAACAAATAAAAAACAAATAAAACAAAGGCAGACAAGGACAAAAAACAA